TGGATGGATGGATGGATGGATGGATGGATGGATGGATGGATGGATGGATGGATGGATGACTGAATTTATAAAATTAATGAATGGTATTAATAAATGAAGGAACGAATGAATAAATGAATGTCATAGTATAAACAAATAACTATTTTTCTAGATAAGCCTCTACCAAGTAAATTAATTTTAAAATCAAGCTAAAAATATCATAGCTTTTACCTTACACCTTTTCAAATTCATAATACCATAAATGAGGGGTCACCATAGATTGTGTTCAATAGACTTAACACCTGTTATAAAGCAATTGTCTCTTACAAGTTTCAATATATATCACGCATAGATCTTTGCTGCGACCAATAGGTTTTGGTAGAGTGGTTTGTCGCGCCTAAAAATTATGCGATTCGGCAGGTTCTTTTGAGAAGCACTACTTGCGTTGTAATAAAAAGATGTCAGGAGAAGGTGAGAATATTAATTGCCCATTGAGTAGTACTTTTGATACGGGTTTTAAAAAGTTATTATAATTTCCATAGCTGTCTTCGTTTCTTGATTACTTATTCATTCATTCCCCATTTTCCCATTTCAATATTCATTCATTTTTATTCTATTTTTTATTCAATTCATTGATTGATTTTTATTCAAAAATTTCAATTTTTTGCTGTTTTTTTTTTTGTTTTTTTTTCGTTCAACTATCATCAATTTCCATATAATTCAAATTCATATTTGAACTAAGGAACAAGTTATACATCCTTGATTCACATCCAATATTTATTCAAATACCGTGACATTTTTATTCGAAAGAACAAAACTTCCAACCAAATTGTTAAGGTTATTAAATATAGTCATAGAAACATTTATTCAACTCGTGTGCAATATCTCTGACGCAAGACGCTAGTAGCTAGCCCAAACCTCACGTACTAGCTCGTACTCAAAAAAACAGCAATCAATCATAATAATATGTCGGGCTGTTGTTTACTCGCACCTCTGCTTTGCATAATATCAATACACACTTGAAACCCGTAATTTCCAAGGTGAAAGGTGTAGTCTCATAATTTTGTACATCATCGTCAACAAAGGTCAGTTAGTTTATTGCATTTTCACCTCACTCTTTTTTCTTTTCTTTTCTTGTCTTTCTCTTTTTTTCCCCTATTTTATATATATATTTAAAAACCTTTTTTTTCTATTCTTCACTTTTTTTTTCTTTAAAAAAAATATATATATATAATTTTCTCTCTCTCTCTCTCTCTCTCTCTCTCTCTCTCTCTCTTTCTCTCTTACCGAGTTATCTTTCCTTTCAAGTTGTTTGAGAAAGCTTCAGTAGCCTTCACAAACGATGGTTTTTCTACCGTCATAACGATGATTTAAAATGACAATCAATTGCTTATCAAGCACGAGTGAAAGTTGAACATTGTTCATCGCCTTTTAGTCTTAGTTGCTCTTTTCTAGCATTTTCTTGTCAAACCGTAATTGAAAACCTAATTATTTTGCTCGCATTGCATACAGCTGGTAAATGAAGCAAGCCCTCTTAAAGAACATCGCAATCTTTCTGTTGACATTTTATTCATTGTATAATCTAAAATATACGAACACAAACTTTGACGAATTTATTTTTCAATGTTAGGACACCTACTGCCCACCCAACGTATGAAGAGAACAAAGAATTTAAAAATACAAACTTAATCATAAATACTGATCGTGAAAAAAATAATTTGGTTCAGTGCACGAAAACGCCTTCTTTGTGATGAACGCTTCGAACAATACTCGGACCTTGACAAGAGGTTGGACTGAGTTCCTAAATCGCACTCCAGTTACCATCGCTGTAGAGACAAGTATTTTACTCCTTATTGGAGTGGTTGTCATTGCGGGAAATCTTCTGGTAGTACTCTCCATCTATCGTAATCCCAGTCTTCGTTACATCTCTAACTACTTCCTATTATCGCTTTCCCTGACCGACATCTTATATTCTATCACAGTCTTGCCTATTACTATTACTTGGTCGATGAAAAGCCGCTTTATTTTTGGAGAAAGCTTGTGTGATTTTCAAGGAATTTTACTTAATTCTCTTTTCTTTGTGTCCGTCTTGAATATGGTTTTCATCGCTGTTAACCGTTTTGTCAAAGTCTGCGAAGCTCAAAAATACCAAAAACTGCAGAAGAAAAATGTGAACTTGATGATAATCAGCGCCATTTGGATTTGCAGTTTTACTTTTGTGATTATGTACAGCAAAGCAGGAAACTTCGCTAGCATTAGTTTTATACCTAATCAAATCAGGTGTGGATTTACATACGAGAACCTACACGGCACGATATCGAAGGTGATTGGGAACACTGTGTTGATAGTCAGTCTAACTATACCATTCACTGTCATAACGTTCTGCTATATCAAAGTATTCAAGAAAATTCGACAGCACAAGAGGCAAATCTTCCCTCAACAAACACGGGAACTTTGTAGAATTCCTATCGCCCAAGATCCTCAGCGTCCGCTTTCCTGTTCTACTTTTCCAAGCCCCCAACCTAACCAGAATCTTCGGGATTCCTGTGTTTCTTCGCAGAATGGTACGAGATTGGGCACTAAKGTTCATGAAATCAAGATCACGTGGACAGTGTTTGCAGTTTTGATGGGGTATTGCATAGCATGGATTCCAGTCCTCATCGTGTCATTTGCGTCTAGCCTCCTTGGTGAAAATAAAATACCTCGCTCGGCTGGAATGATCGTGACTTTTACAGGATCAAGTAGCTGTTATATCAATCCCATAATATACGGAGTAATGAACCCGGCGTTTAGGAGAGAGTACAAGAAGATATTTAACCGTAACTAGACACGTGTTTGGTTTAACGTTTCCCACGTGAGCCTGCATGACTATTGGTCGGTACCTCTTGCTTTCATCATGGTGAGCACTGACCATGAGAACTGCAGGAGCGCAAAAGGACAGAATTGACTCTTACTTGTAATACGATTACAACTTACGAGCGTTGATGCGGAAACGCATCCGTGATCCCAACTTTAGATGGTTTGCTGCCATAGCAGCCATAGATAAAAAGAACACTGCCGCTACCAAAGCCCTGTCTCCTTACTGCGCATGCTCGACTAAATGCTCCCTTGATTGAGTGCGCCCAATTTGTTTTGACCAATCATCACGCAAGATGTTTAGTATCCAATCACAAAGAAATGAAAGAAAATAAATACATCAAAATCTATGTATCTTTTTTTGAATCAGTAGAATCTTTCCATCCTCCTGATATAAACTCTGGTATTCAGTATATTATTGGCAAGACTGGGAAAAAATTATCATCATGATCCTGCTCATCATCATCATCATCATCATCATCATTATCATCGTCGTCGTCGTCGTCGTCGTCGTCGTCGTCGTCGTCGTCGTCGTCGTCGTCGTTGTGCTCGTCACCTGCGCGTAACGTTTATTCTAGTGATTTAATATTCTCCACAATAGCGTTCGACCTTCTATTGAAATAACCGGCTTTTGACAAATATATGATAAAATCCTAAAGGAGAAGCGGAGAGATCTAGAAGTAGCAGCTAGCCGGTGATGGATCTGGGATGACCTCAGTATTTACTAAATTCGTACTCAAAAATCTGTCTTCAAAACATCACACTTTAATGAAGGTACGAATTTAAGGTAAGATTTTTTGGCTCCGCTGTCTATTAGTAAATATTATAGTATAAAGTAATCATATTATAAACCAAACGAATCGAATTAATATGACCATAAATTCTGGCTGCAACTTTCACATTTACAACCAGTTTGTTTTGCCTCGGTATTATATTACCTTAGTTGCCCTAGATCAGTTGAAAGAACCGACGTAAGAAAAAGACTTTTGAGCTTTGGAAGAAAATGGGTGTAAAATAAGAGAAGAAAAACCGAGCCAGTGTTTCATTTTTGAATGCACGATAAACCAATCAATCATCAATTCAGTATGGATATATCCTAAATCAAACTCTGGGCTGATCTAAGTCAAGGCGCGGCTAACTCCGCACAGATCGAACCCAGAAGCAACCTCTAGGCTGATCAAAGCCAGGGCACGGCTAACTCCGCAAAGATCGAACCCTGAAACAACCTCTGGGCTGATCAACGCCAGGGTAAGGTTAACTTCACTCAGATCGAACCCTGAAACAATCTCTGGGCAGATCAAAGCCAGGGCAAGGCTAACTCCGCACGGATCGAACCCTGAAACGATCTCTGGGCTGATCAAAGTCAGGGAACGGCTAACTCACAGATCAAACCCTGAAACGATCTCTGGGCTGATCAAAGTCAGGGAACGGCTAACTCACAGATCAAACCCTGAAACGATCTCTGGGCTGATCAAAGTCAGGGCACGGCTAACTCACAGATCAAACCCTGAAACAACCTCTGGGCTGATCTTAGTCAGGGCGCGGTTAACTCTCACATCGAATTGGAGTTTAGCGTGTGTGTTAGGTTTGGCGGAAAGGAAAAACCAGAGAGTCCGAAGAAAAAAGCCATCGAATCGAGCGAGAAACCGATGGAGTATTCAGTTGCTAAAATTCAGTTGACTTGAGATTAAATCCAACAAACGAATAAAATAAACTTAAAGATTTAATGATAATATGAGGTCCAGTTGATGTACAGAAAAAATATTATTTCAATAAAAATTTCAGGGATATGTTAATTGTTTGACAATGGATGTCGACATCGATCGATTCAGCCACCCGAGTTATTACTATTACTCCCGTTAAGGGGTTTTGTCTTTATCACATCTGGGCCCGGTTGTACGAAGGGTGGATAGCGCTATCCGAAGGATAAATGCTTATGCAGTGGATAAGTCGATGCGGTTGTCCAATAGATTTACCCATTGGATTATTTTACGACATAAAGCGCTATCAACCCTTCGTACAACCGGGCCCTGTTGCAAAATATAATGCGTTTTTCATCCGACTTGGGTACGAGTTTCATTAAATCGCATGTCGGATGTTAGCTTAAGTTCATAGTTTAGCACTACTTCCAAACCAGACGTGCCAAACGTTTATTAAAAAATCCCGAAAAGGGCATGACTTTAATTTGATTTTCTTTAATTTTTATTAATGTTTACACGTATGAATTGGATCCTACCCAGTGCTATTATCATTACTATTTATGAGTTATACTGCCATGCGTAATTGTTTATGATTGGTAGCAGCAAGCAATCTATCTAGATCTCCTGGCTCGATCTACGATTTCTGTTCACTTGTAACTAAATAATCCGGCAGAGAAATAAAATCAATGAAGCCATTATTCGATGGGTAGAGAAAAATAATAGGATTTTGAGTTGAGAGTTCGCATCAGAAACATGTATACACTTATTTCAATAAAGTTAGTCATCTGAAAAGCTACAAAGCTGAGACCGATTTTACATGTTTCAACCGCTTGATAACTGTTGATGGACTTGAGACCTTCTACCAGTTACAAGTTAACCTCCTCTGAGTATCCTCAACTGCTGCAGTTTGTGTCAAAAGCTTTACTTGTTAGATATAAAACATTTCCCCATGATGCTCAGCGATCACAGCTTTCTAGGTTTTTGGTGACTAACTTTATTTAAATAAGTATATCAGTTTCACTTTAACAGACGTTACCACGTTGAACTTCCCCTAGGAGTTATGGGCAGGACGGGGGGTTCAAAGTACCCAAAAAACCTGCCCCTTAAAGTTAATTCAGTGTAAAATGTATTAGTTGATTTGATCATCGTTTATTCGATGTTTGTTTGCAACCGTTTCTTTCTATTTGAAGTTGTTTCATTCTTTGGAACCGAATTTCCCCTATGGATATTATCTTGTGACTCTCACTCTACCCGCTTCAAGTCATTGGCCCTCTTCTTCAGTCGTTTCATACAAGGCTCGTAATTTACCTATTACGCTTGTTCTTCAAGTCTAAATTTAAGACTTTTTTTATTCAAAACTTAATATTAGTATTTATTATCGCTATTTATTATTGCTCATTCATAATCTGATTTTTTTATTTTAGATATTTTTAGTCATGTTATATTTTTATATACATATATAGACATATTTTTTATCATATATATATATTATATCTTTGTATTTCAGCGCTCAGAACCCGTTTTCGTTATGAGCGCTTTACAAATGTTTATTATTATTATCATTATCATCATCATCATCATCATTATTATTATTATTATTATTACTATTACTATTATGCTTAATCAGAAAAACGTTTTGTATAAGGTTTGCTAAAGCTATGACTTATTTTCTAAAGTGTTTTCTTAATATTTTCTAGAATAGATGCATTGCCATACATAAGTTGTGAGACAGAGGTGCCAAACCTTACTCTAAAGTATTCGTTGTAAAATGAACAATGAAACGAGCTGCACAAGTCTAAACAGAGGTTGGACTGAATTTATGAGCCGCACTCCAGCTACCATTGCTGTAGAGACTAGTATTTTACTCCTTATTGGACTAGTTGCCATTGGAGGAAATCTTCTTGTAGTACTCTCCATCTATCGTAATCCCAGCCTTCGTACCATTACTAACTACTTCGTACTATCACTAGCAGTGTCTGATATTCTATACCCGGTTTCTGTGATCTCGATTACTGTCGTGGCTTCCATCCGTGGTCGTTCCTCGGTTGGAAGTCACGTGTGTGGTTTTCAAGCGATTTTTTCTTCTAGTCTCGTGGTTGTGTCTGTCAACACTATTACACTGATGGCCATCAATCGATTCGTCCGCGTTTGTAAGCCACAAAAATACAAGAAAATATTCCACAGGAAAACGTCAATCACCATGATTGGTGCGGTTTGGATCGCAAGTTTTACTGGGATGACACTAATCAACAGCATGGGCGTTTCTGTGTACTCACGTCTTAGCCCTTACAAAATAATGTGCGTTTTCGCATACTACGATAACAAGAAGCCAAGAATCATAATCAGCAACTTGCCCCACGTTTTCTGCCTTTTTCTACCATTCACAATCATCGTTTACTGCTACTTTAAAGTTTTCAAGAAAATACGCGAACACAAAAGAAACGTGGCTCCTTCGAATCAGGGTAGACTGGGAACGAGCGTCCAAGAGATCAAAGTCACGTGGGTATTGTTCACAATGTTGGTGGGGTACTGCTTGACTTGGGTTCTAGTGCTTGGTGTTCTGTTAGCGTCAAGTATCAGCTGCAGATATGAGTATCAACTGCCTCGTGAGATTCACATGATCGTAACTTATGGGATAGCAAGCGGTAGCATCCTTAATCCTATAATTTATGGCGTATTCAATATGGCCTTTAGACTAGAGTACAAGAGAATACTCATTCAATGGTATTCTTGTACGTAAGATATATATTAACCATTCCAAGGTTGGATCAAGTTGGCATTGCAATGCATTTTGGGGCTGTTTTAGGGGACGAAATAGACGCCATCTTGGAAATATCTCCCCTAAAACAATCACAAAATGCACCGCAATGCCTATTTGACCTAGTTTTTTCCTCAACCTCTGCATGGCTAATTGAATGAGAAACCGCCGGTCCACTACGTTTGATAGCTAGGTTAATTTTATTGTCAAGCTTTTGGCCATATTGTCAAGCCTTCAACATGTAATGAAAATATTTGGTTGCAAATGGTCATAAGATATATATAATCTAGCATTTGAGAAACCTCTTCAAAGGCAACTACTGGACTCATTCACGTTGGCTCTAATGTTTTCCCATTTCCGTGAGAC